CATAGCAGGAGGGGGAAAAGTAAAAATATAAAAATATGCAGTAAAACCAACTTTGCATTCATCAAAAGCTACTTCGAACTTTCCAAGCTTCGTGTGGAGAGTTATCTTTACACAGCACAGGGAGAGGCGTTTGGCTGGTTGTCGTCGTTTTATCACAGGACTAAATTCAGACCATCACTGTAATTGCTAGAATGCACCATTATCACATTATTGAATCTCTCTGTAAAGAGTTTCCAAAATCTACCGCATAAAACCACCGTATAAAAGAAGAAATGTAAATATAAATTTAATTGAATGACTACATTTGTGCTCTTGCTAGGGAAAGGGAGATGTACCTTTGCTAGCTGGCCATTCAGGGAAAATCATTAAACAATTACAGCTGCTATGGAGTAACTCAGAAGACTGAAGGAAGTGATTAAAAGGGCTTTATCTGATATCAACTTATATGCTTTGATTTCTCAGCTATCCATCTCATACCCATGTGAATCGCTATGAACAAAAGGGAATCTTCTCCTTATAGCTGATACTTTTCACATGATGCCCAAGCAAACTAGAAGTCATATTTTCCAATGGCAATACCAATCAATTGTCTAAACCAGGGGTCCTCAAACTTTTTAAACAGGGGGCTAGTTCACTGTCCCTCAGACCATTAGAGGGCCGGACTGCAGGCCCCGGGACTAGTCAGCTACTAAGCAGGACAGGCAGTGGCGGCAAAAACACCTGGCTGGCTGGATAAATGTCTGAGGCGGGCTGCATGGGGCCCACGGGCTGTAGTTTGAGGACGCCTGAACGGTCCACTGACAAGCTTGCCTACCACCATAGCCCAGACTGAAACCCAACACATCCATGCAGTATACACACTAGGAGTAGGTGGGTTTTAGAAATCTAAGATGAATTTAGAGTATAACATCAATACACGTCTGGAAATTCTGCAAATGTCATTTATAAAACAGAGTAGTGTATTCCAATGTAATGCATTGTTTGTGTTTTTTGATTGTAGAGGAAGGTATTTAATAAAGACAGCACACAGAAAAATTCAGTTTTCAGAATATGCTGAAATTCCCAGTTGTGCTGTCAATAAACACATCCCAAAGTGTCCCTACAGAAGGAAAATTTATGTTTGGGGGTTTTTGTTTGTTTCTGTTTTTGCATAAGTAGTCTAGCAAGTATCTCAAAAAATAAAAAGGAAGAGAAAAACAGACTGTATGTAACAGTGGTACAAACAGTGAAATTCAATGCATACAGTTGTACTGAAGTTCACATAGTGCAGTATAGTGAAAAGCTACGTACGTAAAAATATACATGATATATATATATTTACATAAATATTTAGAAAATGCTTTTTACAAAGTTGTTCTTGCCCCTCCCTTTAACACAAAACCAGTATCTTACATGGGTGTCATTAAAAGCATATGTATACGTGTGACCCCGATCCATAGGCATCTCAATGAAGCTTCATTCCCCAACTTATCACTGCTAAAATAGCTAATATTTTTCTAATTCAAAATCACACATGCTCAGAAACCCTAATTCTGCTCCAGCCTAAGAGATTATACTGACAAGTAAATACTACAGAGAAATATATTTAAATACTACTTTCTCCACATGCCAGTAAGTCTCAACATTCCTCCAAAACTTCTGTAAGAACAAGCAGAAGACAAGATTGTGACCTTTATTTCATTGACAAGGACATCGAATCACTGTGCTAAATGGATAAAATCAGACCTTCTGAAAATTACCCAGTAAGTCAATGATCAACGACAACTAAAACACAGAAACTAACTTCTAGGTCTGTCTGCCACGCCCTCCTGTCCGTCTCCTGTTTCAGACTATGTTCCAACCCTGAACTAAAAGTGTTCTCTAAAAAGACTCGTGGTAACTCAGTGTAAAAGCCTACCTTCTCTTACAACGGGTAATTAGTTTGATATGCTCTAAGTTAACCAAAATAAAGTTAACCAAAGAATTTTCAGACAAAATGGCAAATTCATCACATCGCATGGTATTATAAACTCAGTGGCTGAAAAGCAAGATGCATCACCTAAAATACTGTACAAGCACATGGAGCAGACGTGAGGCCCGTCCAGCTGGGTTGGCCTTCACATCAGCAGTGGTCATGCTAACGCATTTCTTCTCGCTGATTTGATGGAGCCCTACTAATAACAGGTTGATGAATTGCATTTGTAAATGTCGGGCATAGATCAAAGGGGACCATGTAGAAGGCTTATTTTACTTCAACTTATTATTTTTCATCAAGAAAACAAAACTGCATTGCACAAAGTCCCTTATTTTTACTTCAATCTTCAGTGAACAAAACAGCTGCAGAATAATGTGACTTAATGAGGCGTCCCTAATAAAATACTGCAGGAGTAAAGCAGGGGCGCTGGACTGTTTGCACTCCGGTTGTCTCATCTTTTCAAATATGTTAGAAATAACTGATGACACTTGGGAATGTTCGTGTTTGGGACATGCATTCGAGAGTTCATCCACAGATATGTTCATCAAATTGCAGCCACAGCTAAACTTGGGCACAATCTGACAGTACTTTTTCTTAGGAGCTGAGTTAAATGTCTGGGAAAGGCTGGAGAGACACATCTTACCTTTCCTTACAGGGTAATCCATAACCCACAATTAGTACTAAATCAACCCCAAAATGTGTATTTTTAATACAAAGATACATGTTTAAATGGTCATCAAGGTACTATACTGAAGATACTGGATCTAGGAACTAGGACTACTGAAATTTTCTGATAAGGTATGAAATAATTTTTATAAAATTTCTAACACACCCTAAGTTTCATCATTTGATAAATTTTTAAAAAGGAAAAATGGCTATGTCTAAAACTAGATCTTTTTATAGCCATGTCATCATGTTTTATAACTTGATGCTTAGTTAATACTACAATGCAGTCTCTAAGCATTAGGCATCTATTTTGACCCAGATCCACAGGCATCTCAATGAAGCTTCATTCCCCCAACTTATCACTGCTAAAATAGCTAATATTTTTCTAATTCAAAATCACACACGCTCAGAAACCCTAATTCTGCTCCAGCCTAACCTGTAGCCTTGTCTTCAATGCCAAGGAGTCTGGTTCTTCCTTAAGAGACACATATCGCAGCACTACACTACATTTTTAAAGGCAAGGAATGGATCAAGATTTTAATCTAAAAAAATGCCCATTTGAATACAGCAACCCATTAAAATGGTGTTTGGCTTTTAAAAGACTACCTGTGCCTACGTATTCAGCTGGCAGTGGCACTGACCTCAGAGTCTTACACTACCCACAAATAACACAACCCAATGGTTTCCATTGAAAATTAGAAAAATGAAAATAAAATAAGCTCCAGTCTGGTTACCGATGGCTTTAAAAATGAGAATTCTAAAAAGCTCAACCCAAACAATTGACTCAGGATGAGATTCACAACAGAATAAAGGAGGGAAAGGGACGAATTAAACACATTGAATCAGTTATTTAAAATACAGGCTGCTAAGGTGCCAATTTTGAAACTGCAAATGATTCACCAGTCTGAGAGTACATTTGCAAACAGACAGAGCTGGAGTAAATGCAAATAATCTTAATACTCTGGTTTCTAATCTCCTTTGCTAGTTATTTTGGTTTAGCACTTTACACATGAAATCTTAAATTAATTACTCGTTTGTCTTAACTTATACTGCGGAATAGAGCAGTTCTAGAGCGTTAATTGGTAACAGTCCGAATGCTGATGTCTAAGACAATCTAGTTGAGAGGACAGGAACCAGATAATTATCATCCAGTCGATAGTCACTGAAATGCGTCTTGCCCGGAGTGAAGGACCCTGAGTACCGAGTGCTTTAGGGCACTGTTAGAGAAAAGGTTGCATACAGATTTGAGGTGGGGTTTTTTTTTCACCAACAATTTTGTAAAATTCAAGAGGAGATTTCACACTCACAGAACGAGGGTGTTTTCTGCCTTACTGCCACAAGCCAAACTCAGCCAGCACAAGGCGGAGAGAGGCAGCCGCTGAGGTAACACGTCTGCACACTGGATTCCAAACGCTTCGGGCAATTGTTTAACGCTGGTGGAGAAGAGGGTTGCCGACCAGGCTACCCAGGGCTCCGCCAGCACCTACCGGCCGTCCTTCCAAGTGCGGGCTGGACAGCTCAACCTACAGCTCTAGAAATCGGGCGATGGATCTCAAACTTTCCTTTGCAAAGGCAGTTTCTGCGAGTAACACGTTCCCCCTGATCAGTGAAGACCGGTAGCCTAGAACACTTCAAAGCAGTCACCAGCCTTCCAGAATGGAAGGGGGAAGGGTTAGCAAAGCAATAGGGCAGAAAAAGAGACATCTATCCCTAAAGAAATGAAAAACCATTAGTTTTCCAAAGCGGTTCTTTTGCTGAACGCTGGTCGTCAGAGGCTCCTTCCCCAAGGCTCTCTCGTCTGCCTTTTACAGGTAAAAGCTTCATTTCAAAGCGTCCGTTCCCAAATGTAAACCAACCTTTAAGTAAAAGAGGCTCAGGAACTTATCAAAATGATTCTTTATGAAAATAGTTAGAGATGGGGAAATCAATAGTCTGACTGAAACGCCCACGCTCTGCAGACAGGCCTGAGCATTAACTAATCCGAAGTGGACGTAAAGTAGAGATCTCAGGAAGGCGACCGTGCACACGCCATCGACCCTCCAGAGTGCAACCCCCAACTCCTAAAGGAGTCCAGATGGTTACCAGCCCGAATCGGTCCGGGGGAGAAATCAAAGTAAAACCCACTCTAATCCTCGGCCGGTCCCCTGCTGTGTGGAGAGACCTGGGGCAGGAAGGGCTCCCGGCGCCTCCGGTGGCCGCTCCGACCCTCTCGGCGGCCCCTCCCCGCCCTACCCCGACCCGGGCGACGGGGACGCGGGCGGCTGGGCCGGCCTCACCCTCCTGTCGTGCTCCCAGGCCGAGCCCCCTACAGCCCTGGGCCCCCCCAGGGAGGGGAGGGGACACTGTGCCCACGGGGGCCCCGGGCGCGACGCGCACCTACCTGCAGCCCCGCTCCCGGGTGGCGGCAACACCTCGCGACGCTCCTGCAGCTTCCGCGGGCCGGCGCCGGCCTCACCGCGCTCGCATCGCTCCCGAGACGCCGATCCGCCTCACCATCCAGGGGCATAGGGAACCCAGGCCGGGCGGTGCGCTCGCCGAGGCGTGCGGGTGCGCGCGCGCGTTCGCTCCTCCGAGGGCGCAGAGCGTTCAGGAATCTCTCGACATCCACATCGGAACCCCCTCGAAGCAGGTGCGGAGGGTGGAGCGCGCGCGCCCGATCTCTCGTCGCCTCTCCTGAGTCCCCAGTGTCCAAGTAATCAAAGATGCGTGGACCGAGAAAAGGTCGCCAGTCCCGGAGCCGGGGCAGCGCCCGCGGCCGCCGCGTCCTCGCCGGTGCGCTCAGCCCCGCCGACTGCGGGTCCCGGTTCAGGCGGCCGCGCTGCGACTGCCGCGCTCACTCCATCCGACTTGGCCGCCCGCAGCGCCGAGCCGGGACTTTCCACCCGCCGCGCGGCGTCCCTCTCACGCACACGCGTCCTCCGTCCCTCTCTGCCGCCCCCTGCGCTCTGGGAAAGGGCGGCTGCCCCGAGCGGTCCCCGCCAGGACGGCAGCCCGCGCCGCGCCTTCAGCCCCGGCTCCCGCAGGGCCCGCTCTCCGGCGCGGGAGCGGCGCTGAGCCCCGAGGTCTCCCGGTTCCTCGGTCGCGGTGCCCCTGTTCCCGCGCTGGGCAGACAGGTCCCCGCCGGCGTCCTCTCCGAGCCTCGGCGCCGTCGACTAGCGTCCACTTAGCAGCCGCTCCGGGCCAGCTGCGGCCGCTCGATCCCGCCTCCGAGCGCCGCGGCCCCGGCCCCGCGCAGCCCACCCGCCGCCCCGCTCGGCATCGTGGGCCGGAGGAAAGGAAGCCCGCCGCTGTCCCCCGTCACCAGTCCCCTGGCTCCGTCACCACCGAGAAGGTGGGAGTTTCCGATATCGAACACGGGCGAGCAGGTGTCGCCAGTCACCTCGGTGAAGGCGGGAGGGGAGAAGGAAGGGAGCGGAGGAGGGGCCCGCGGAAACGAATCCAAATCTCCAGAGAGAAAGAAGCGGTTCAGCAACTACAGCCGCCTCTCCGCGTCCCGCCCCGGCGCGGTGCTGTCGGAAGACACTGACGGCGAGCAAGCGCTTAGAAAGTCACAGTAAAGGGCAGAGTCCCCTGTCTACCCAGCCTGGCTCTCCGGGGAGGCAGTGCAGACAGAAAGCAGGGAGAGAGCAGTCCGGACACTCCAGCGCGAGTTAAGCAGAGAAACGGGATGGCAGGACCAGGCAGCGTCGCCTCCCTGCGTCTCCCTCGCGACAGCCAGCTCTGTCACCCCGCAGCCGCTGCCGAGAGCAAACGACGCTCCTGCAGAAGAAAGAGACAGTAAAAAATGAGGGAAGGCGGATACTGGCGCAAAAGCTGGACTGTGTCTCCCTCTAGAGGACAGCCGAGTCCGCACACCACTGGGAGGAAGGACTCCACTTTCCCACAAAGAAAGGGAAAGGCCCATGGTCTCAGGGATTTTGCATTTTTACAAATTACACCCTCTCATGGATTTGCAGGCGGGATTGCCCTGCAGCCCTACGTAAGCAAAGCTCTTGCTAAAGGAACTTCAGGATAGTCCCAGGAATTTAAGAGCTTGACCCTGGAAGGTCACATCCCTCCGGGTTTGGTGAGACCCGGGGCTGGTTTAAGGCCGCATGCACGAGCGCTCAGACCAAGGGTCTTAGGCTCAGTTTGATCAACCTCGGCAAAGAGCAAAACTTCAGTGTAGTATTAGAGGATTAGTCAAAAATGAATGAATAGTGGAAATGGGTTGAGAAAAAGAAAATCCCAAACGAAGAAAGAGAATTCTGACCCAGGAAATGTACATTTCCTTACCATGAAGGAGTAACAAAAAGATCTTGTTCTGGAGCCAATATTCAGACCTCTCATTCCACTAGTCCAGGAGTTGTCCAGATAGCTAAACTCCTCCCAGCTGTGAAGCGTTTTGCCTGTAGCTCTAATTCATTGGAATCCCTGGCAAACCAGGTATCTCCCCTCACCAGCTCTGAAAATAAAAAGAATACTATGACAAAGAGATGTAATAGAGTATGGACTTCACTTAGTGATTTTATCTGAACATGTTCACTAACTCAACCGTTTGTATCTAAAAGACCTGAAGTCACTTAATGAGGTTGAGAAGAACGTTTATTAGAAGGTGATGCCACCAATTTTATAAGAAGGTTTTGTTACTTCAGTCAAAGTCACAATAGGAGACCTGGAATATTTAGAAATCAAAATATCCAAAGCAAAATATTTAGACTTTGTGAACTTACTATTTGAGTTAAGAGTTTGCTTTCAAAATGTTTCTGTATATTTAAAAATTCTAAAGCATGTATAATAACAAAGCAGTTCTGCTTTAACTTGATAATAGTAGAGGCTTTCTGAAAGAAAGAAAAGAATTTGTTTTTTTAAAAAACAACTGTAATTAGTTGAAATTTAAAACAAGGCATCAAAACTAAATAATGCAGGTTTTACAGTTTTAACTAATCGTACTATTGCCGATTTGAGTTCATCTACCACATGGCCCTGATTTGCTTCCGAGGTCCCCTCAGACAGTGCCTTTCAAATGATTCCTGTCATGTGACCAAGGATTAGTTCATGGCACTCAGGGATGCCCAGCCTTTGGCTTCTCCACTGCACACTGGAAAAGAAAGAGTTGTCTTGGGTCACACATTAAATACACCGACACTAACGAAACCTGGTGAGCAAAAAAGAGGCCCGTCCATAATTTCTGCAATATCCAACACCTCCAATAAGCAAAACAGTCCTTGTGTAACCCACATGTGCCCACCGGCCACAGGTGGGACACGCCTGATTACAACTCTCACAGTAATTTGTTTGCTGTGTTAAATAATTGGGTGGAATCCAAGCAGGAATGATACTGGAAACCCTGTGACTTTGAACTGAGAAGAAAAGCCACATACAGAATCACTTTAGAACATTGGTTCTCCTTTTTCACACACACAAAAAATTTTACACATCCATACATATGGACGTATGTATGTATATAGCATCCATTATAATCCCAACTTCTAATTCATTAGTTCATTGTGATTGTAGGAAAAGCTATAATTCTATCACATTGTTAAAACTCAATTTTTATTGGTTAAGTATGGGACATTTTCATCCTTATTTTCCTAATAAAATCCATTATGTTTTTACATGCATATGAGTCATTTATTAAAGTGAACAAATGTATAATTTCTTTGAGGGAGGGGGTCTTCTGGTAAGGACCAGAAAACCTGCTCGACAAATTCTAAAAGAACTTTAACACAAATGCACAGATTAATTTCCAAATATAACAGAATTTCTTATACAAAGTTACATGATGCTAAAATCTGTAATAGTGTTTGTGTAGTTCATAAATATCCAGATAAATCATTCCCAATAACTTTTAGATCAAGGTATCCTCATTTTCATCACCTCCAAGATTTTGGAACAAAATCTTTTGCCTTCTCTTCCAAGGGAACAAAATGGCAAATGCCCTCCTAGTTTAATAGAAATCTTGAGTTGATAATTCCTGGCATTTACAGACACAGGTACAGTCCCAGACCACCACAAACATCAGATGAAGCAAAGCCACATGGAGTGTCTGGATCCCCCGTGCAACATAGATGACTACTTTATTCTAGTCCATTAAGCCCGTAATAGCATTACACCTTTTTTAGAAGTACATATATTAATTTAAACATATGTTATTGCTAAAAAACGTTAATAATAATCTGAACCTTCAGCAAGTCCTACTCTTTTTGCTAATGGAGGGTCTTTTCTCAAGGCAGATGGCTGCTGACTGGGGCTGTGGATAGCTATGGAAGTCTTAAAATAAGACATCATGAAGTTTGCTTCACTGACTGACTGTTCCCACAAAAGATTCATCTGTAGCATGCAATGCTGTTTGATAGCATTCCACCCACACTAGAATGCTTTTTTAACTGGAGTCAGTCCTCTCAAGCCCTGCCACTGCTTTATCATCTAAGTTTGTGGAATATTCTAAATCTTTTGTTGTTGTTTCAACAGTGTTCTCAGCACTTCACAAGTAGATTGTATCTCAAGAATCTGCTGTCTTTGCTCATCCCTAAGAAGCAACTCCTCATCCATTTTTATCATGAGACTGGCAATTCAGTCACCTCTGCAGTCTCTACCTCCAATTCAAGTTCTCTTGCTAGTTTCACATCATCTGCCGGGAGTTCATCAATGAATTCTTGAGCTCCTCAAAGTCATCCGTGGAAGCTGGAATCAACTTCTTCCAAACTCCTGGTGATGTTTTGACCCCCTCCCATGAATTGCAAATGTTCTGAAAGGCACCAGTTAAAAGAATGGTTTCTTTCTAGAAGGTTTTCAATTTACTTTGCCTAGATCCATCAGAGAAATCACAGTGGCTATGGCCTTACAGGATGTATTTCTTACATAAGAAAACTTGAAAGTTGAAATTATTCCTTGATCCATGGGCTGCAGGCAGGAAGATAACATTAATGTCCTGTACACCTCCATCAGAGTTTTTTGGTGACTAGGTATAATGTCAATAAACAGTAATATTTTGAAAAGAATCTATTTTTCTGAGCAAAATATCTCAACATTGAAACAGTGGACTTCATTAATAGTCAGCAAATGATGCTGTCAACAGATGTGCTGTTATTCAGGCTTTGTTTTTCCACTTATAGAGGAATTAAGTAATTAATTCTTAAGGGCTATAGAATTTTTAGAATCGTAAGTGAGCACAGGCTTCAACTTGAAGTCACAAGTTCCATTAGCCACTAACAAGACAGTCAGCCTGTTCTTTGAAGCTATGAAGCTGGGGTTCAACTTCTCTTTAGCTATGAATGTCCAAGACGGCACCTTCTTCCAGTAGAAGGTGGTTTTGTCCATATTCAAAATCTGTGTTCTAGTGTGGCCACCTTTACTAGAGGTCTTAGCTGGATCTTCTGAACAGAACTTGCTGCAGTGTCTATATCAGCACTTGCTGTTTCGCCCTGCACTTGTATTTGATGGAGACCAATTCTTTCCTTAAGCCTCTCTAACTAACCTCAGCTAACTTCAAACTTTTCTCCTGCAAGTTCTTCACATCTCTCAGCCTTCC